GGAGGCGGCCATGGCAAAGCAGTACGACTCAGTGGAGTGTCCCTTTTGTGACGAGGTGACCAAATATGAGAAGCTTGCCAAGATCGGCCAAGGCACCTTTGGGTAAGACTAGGCCCCTAGGGGCTGGGAGCTCTGGGGCTGCAACCCTCAGGGCGAACGTCGGGACGTCTGGGGCCCTGCCCGAGGTGATCGAGAAGCCGCTGATCCCTAGGCTCGTCCTCTAGTCTTTCTAGGCCGCGCTGCACCCCGCCTCGGCCTCTCGGAGCCGGTTTGCTGGGAGGAGCCTGAGGCCCTTGGTGGGTGGCAGGGAGGGGTTGCAAAGAGTCACCTGTGAAAAGAGCGGGATCTCTCCGAGAGACGCCGGACTGAGGAGAACTGAAGGAAGGAAGCGGAGGCTCCAAAAGACACTGGAGATACAGGGCGGTGGGCTAGCCACGTGCCCCGGGTACTCGGCCCCGCCCCGCCCAAGGAGTCGCTTCTTTCCTGCTGCCCTTCTTCCTCCTCTAGTGGGGGAGGGGAGAACCCTGCAGAAACAGCCTGCTAAGGTCTCTTGGGTCTTCCTCTTCGTCTGCAGGGAGGTATTTAAGGCCAAGCACCGCAAGACCGGCCAGAAGGTGGCTCTGAAGAAGGTGCTGATGGAGAATGAGAAGGAAGGGGTGAGTGCAGATTGGGGGCGTGGGCCAAGCAACTGTCTTGAACATCAGGTTGGTTTTTTACCCTGCTTTTTGCAGGTGTCTCAGATTGAGATTCAACTATGTCTCTGTTGTAGTTGGGAAATTTCCATATTGTAAGGAGGTTGATCCCCAATCCTAAATCTTTTAATTCGAGTACTCTGAAGCATTTGATGTTTCCTTTTTAGGTAAATGTGGTTCATGTGGGGACCTTATGCTTGTGTTGAGTGCACCTTAGTTCCCAAAGTTAGGACAGCTTTAAACTTTTTTTTTCTTAGTGTTTAATTTTGTTTAATGTAACAGAGAAGTATTTGTGGTTGGTTTTTAAAAAGTGGCTAAAGTGACTAATGGGGCTTGGTGCCTGTGGCTCAAGCAGGTAAGGC